AAAGGTTTTGAAAACCATGGCTTATTTAGTTTATGGGAATCCATGGCTTGTCCTATCCATGGAATCCATAGCTTGTTTAGTCATGGAACCTCATGGCTTGCCAAGTCATGGGGCCCGCGACTTGAGTAGTTCGTGGGGTCATAAAAATGATTTCAGAAAAGGTAATAAATGATTGCTTAAGCAAAGAGATCTTGTGAACTGGTAATAAAGTCTATTGCTGTAAGCCTAGATAGGATGCGGAGAGTGCATCCTGGGGGGCAGAACCTGAAACTTGGTCCGGGTAGGCGAGGCACTTGGTTAGGTAAGTAATTTGTGCTAATTACTTGCTGAAGCCTGTAATATGGAGATTTTACATTTATTTCCTTTGAGAGAAAGGATGTGAGGTTCCGGCTGTCTGTTGGAACTGAATGTTTATTTATTTACGTACATATTTATTCATTTACTTGCGCATTATCCATTTATTTATTTTACATCCTTGCAAATTATATCCTACTGGGCCTTTCGCTCACGTTTTATGTTTCAAATGTATTAAACCCTTCCCAGGAGACTCTAGGAGCGGTGCGGGGTAGCGGAAGAGTACTACTGTTGGATCAAGAGAGGATTGAGTTCATCCTCTGGAATAAATGTAAGGAATTTGAGAATTCTGTAAACTTATGTAATATTTGGATTTGCTAGACTGTGGTTGATGTTTGTTGTAATGATTATTTACATGAGCATGTATGTACGATACTGTATGTCCTGTGGGGTGGAGCCTTGTGTGTGAGAGGCTCCGGAATTCTGTAATTTATTTATATTTTAATGTAATTAAGTGTGGGGTCCGGTTGGGAAACTGCTTTATTAATCCCAAATCGAGCTCCACGTCACCCACCCCATTTGGGGGGGGGGGGGGGGGGGGGGGCTATAAAAAAAAATTTTGGGCGTGATATATACAATATATCTTTCCTTGAGTTGACAGGACTATCTTTGGATTGGACTAGGCCGCTTCCTCGACGTCGTGGCCTTTGCCACCTCATCGGGGCTCTCGACGTACGTCATCCCGCTTGAACTGTCGACGTATGAAGGGCACCTTAACTACAGTTGATCCCTCGACGCCAGCGACCGATTCTTGACATGGAGGCCTCGGCACTTTTCGTCCAAAGGAGTGGTCAATTCCTTGACCGCGGTGTAACATTAATGATTAACTGAAAAGGTAGCCATAATGGAGATCTGCTACGTCTCAATAGAGCTTGACAGTTTTACGGCAGTATAATACTGACAATTTGTACACGTTCAAGATTTTGGTCGCTTTCCAACAACAAAGATTAAAGAAAAGTGCATCTTAAATATAATCGATTCTCAAGTTGCATGTAATTAAATTGAAGATTAATTAATTAGGTTCTTTCTAATGATAAATCTCCAAAGTAACGTGCAAAACTCAGGAGCCAACTTTACTTTGTGAAGAACAATATATTCTTAAAGATGTATATAAATAAATCAAATGAAAAACAAAACTAAAAGCTAGCTAGAAAAGAAAAAATTGTACGCGCATCGTTAGCTATACATGCGCTATAAAGTTTTGATATATTTTGCTTACTCCTTTTTCACTTGAAAGAATAGCCAATTTGAGAGAAGCAAAGCACATGTCAAGCTAATTGATGGATTTGAGATTCAAAAAAAAAAAAAAAAAAAAAAAAGATGATGACTTTTGAGGATTTGATTCAGAAAACTTGCTTCGGCTACCGAGGCAGTCTGCACCAGCTTCATGTGGAACAACATTGTGTGTAGGTTCGGCGTCCCATACTCGATTGTGTTCGACAATGCCTCGACGTGCAAATTCTGTGATGACTTGGGTATACGGAAGGATTTCTCAGCCCTGATACACCCGCAGTCCAATGGCCAGGTGGAGGCGGTCAACAAAATCCTAAAGTGTACCCTGAAGAAGAAGCTCGACGACCTAAAAGACAAATGGGCCGAGGAACTTCCAAAGGTCTTGTGGACATACAGAACAACGAGTCGAACTACCACGGAGTCGAGGTTGTGCTTCCCATAGAAATTGAGATGCGGACTCTAAGGACGGTCGTATACAACGATGACACAAATGTGGAAGCCATGAATGGAGAACTTGACCTATTGGAAGAAAAAAGGATCGACTCACAGTTACGACTCGCCGCTTACCAGCGCAGAGCAGCCCGATATTACGACAAAAGGGTCAAGCAAAGAAGGTTCATCCCAGGAAATTTGGTGTTAAAAAGGGTGACACAGAGCACTAAACCCAAGAATACTGGCCCCCTGGGCCCGACTTGGGAGGGACTCTACCGTGTAAGGGAAGTGCTATGCCCTGGGACCTACGTTCTGGAGAGCCTCATCGGCAAACAAGTTCAACACCCATGGAATGTAGAGCAGCTAAAGCTGTACCACCAATAGTGTACGCACTCTTACGCGCTTTTATTATATTTGGCATCATATTAATATAAATGAAGCTTATTCATAGCGTATATCCACGAGTTGACCCCTTAAATATGTCTGTCTTAAGAAACTAAATTTCTAAAACACACATGGGGGGTAGTCAAGGGTCTTGCAAATCACAAAAATATGCGTATGTAAAGTAAGCGTTGACTCCTCCAAGGAGGAGAGACGATCTACGTAGCCAATCCTTAGGTTCGCTAAAATGAATACCCCAAGGGGTACAATAAACGTCGACTCTTCCAAGGAGGAGAGACGACTTACTTGGCCAATCTTAAGGAATTTGCTAAATCGAATACCCTAAGGGGTACAATAAACGTCGACTCTTCCAAGGAGGAGAGATGATTTACGTAGCCAATTTTAAGAAATTTGCTAAATCAAATACCCCAAGGGGTACAATAAGCGTCGACTCTTCCAAGGAGGAGAGACGATTTACTTAGCCAATTTTAAGGAATTTGCTAAATCGAATACCCCAAAGGGTACAATAAACGCCGACTCTTCCAAGGAGGAGAGACGATTTACTTAGCCAATTTTAAGGAATTTGCTAAATCGAATACCCCAAGGGGTAAAATAAATGCCGACTCTTCCAAGGAGGAGAGACGATTTACTTGGCCAATTTTAAGGAATTTGCTAAATCAAATACCTCAAGGGGTAAAATAAACGTCGACTCCTCCAAGGAGGAAAGACGATCTACTCGGCAGAATTTTAACAAACTCAATCAGCGACCTCAAGGGGTACTTCAAATGATAATAAGTAACAAAAACAAATATATATATTGGACGTAAAGCCCATCGTCTCAAAAAATAAACAATTACAAAAAAAAAAGAGAAACTAAAGCCCAAAGAGATTCCCTCAGTTGTTGCCTCCATCAGCTAAGCCTCGTCTCCAGGCGGGGAAGAACCGTCGTCATCAGTAGGTGGAGTGGGAACATACATAAAGCTCAAGTCCAACTCGGGATACTGCTGCTTGATCAAGTTTACAATTTGCTCCCCAGTGGCTTGGAAATCCTTGGTACGGATTTCAATGAGCTCTTCTGAAGTCAAGAACTCCTCCACGACCTCTTTGCGCTTAGCGACAAAGCCTTCAGATATCAGGTAATCCTCGACGGCTACGAGCACGACTTCTTCCTTCCCTTTTTCCCCTTCGGTATTCTCCTTGGTGAAGTACTTCTCCTTGGCTTCATTCTCCTTCTTCTCTGCGGCCTCCGCCTGCATAGTCACCTCCTCGACCTGAGTCTTCAAACTGGCCAACTCATCTTGCAAGCTAGCCAGCTGGGCCACGGTCACATCCCTCTCCTCGACGGCAGTCGAGCACTTGTTCTTGGCATCGTCAAGAAGAGACTGAAGCTTGGCCTCGACGTTGTCAATTTCCTTCCCACGTTCCTCAACCTTAACCAGGTCAATAAGGTTGAGGATGGCGAGGACAAGGCCCTGAAGAGCCACATGTCAGGAGATGGAAATAAAAAAAAAATACATGTGTAATATAAAAGATGAGAACAGACAGTTGGCGCTTACATGGATCTGGAAGGATATCTGCTTACGCTGATGGTCCACCAGAGAGGAACGAGAGGCAGAGACCCAGTGCTTGTCAAAAAATGACTCGTACAGGGCTTGGAAGACCAGGGAAAAACGGTGAGGAAGATTCAACATCGCCTCAACTTGGGCGTTGGAGACATCATGGACTTGGAACGTTGGGTCCATGACCTTCGCCTCAGGCATCAGAAGGCACTCCCTCATTGGAGGAGGAACTTCAATGACCTCGAGGATAGGAACCACTGGAGTCTAGGTACCCCCCGCTGCTGGCACTTCCTCCTGACGTGACCGCTTGGGCGCAGGAGCTTCAGAAGTCGACCCCGAGGCACCCCCTGAGGGCTTCCTCCTCTTGGGGGCCGAAGGAACGCTGGCATCGACCTTCTCTTTCCCCTTCCCCTTCGACTGGGGCCGATTGCCGACAGGGAGCTGAATATTCAGAGAAGCCATTTTTGCACAAACAGTTAAGGATAAGAGGTCGACGGGACATCATTCCAAAAAGAAAAATTAAGGCAGAGAACCCATAAATATACCCTCTGCGTTTAGAGAAAAAACTTCTTGAACACGGTGAGGGTTTGAAGGATCGGGGAGTTCGATGATTAGCCTAGCCTCCCTCAAGTTATCCTCAGTTAGAAGGACGTCGATGTGGCGATCACCCTCTGGGATGGCGAAGGCGTCGTCGACCCTCTTCCGTCTCTCCCCGGCTAACTTCGGCCGATCGTGGGTAAATGCATGACAAAGTGAGTATCAACATTTATGAAAATGGAAAGGAGGAGAGTAAGTTTTCTTGGTTCTCACTCAGGTTTCCAAACGACATTTGCACCCTTCTGCGGTGGGGTCGACGGTCTGCGGGATGAAAGTTAAAGGGCCCTCTGACCATGAAGAACATGGGTTTCCAGCCATGAGAAGAAAAGGGGATCCCATGTATGAGCCTTCCCAGTCGGGGCTGAGATCGCCCGTGGCCGCCCAAGTAATACCACCCGTCACACTTGGCGACGTGATTTAGCTTATATATATACATAAACTCGTTCACCCGTCGCACTTGGACCTAAAGTTTGCATCCGGAAGAAAGTAGTCAAACCACCTCCTATCAATGCACCCATCTTTATATGCACGGACAATATCCCTACTCTGAATTCTCAGCACCGTCACATCGGCCGTAAAGATTGGCCTGTCGGGATCCCCGCTCATACCGGCTAGCGGGGCATCCACGAATGCGGCGGTGAATCCACGCATCTCTCCCCCTACCAAGGAACCTTCACCGCTTTCATTTCCGTCGACCAAAGCATCGACACTGTCGATCCCTGCCTCCGCTGCGTAATCGTCGACTTCCCTTAGGATGGGGTCGTCCTTGAATAGGACGTCCACGAAACCTCGGTAGCAGAAAGAGAATCTGGCCTTACAGTTTGTGAAGGACCCTCTCGACGGTTAGAAGGTTTAGGAGCCATTGTTCTGGTATAACAAAAAGAAGGGATGATGTAAGGGGTTAAGTTAAAAGCCTAAGTCAAGGGGGAAGAAACAATCAACACCGACGGTGATTCTACAACGGCGATGATTCAACACTGCCAAAGGTGTGAAGACGCCGATGACTCATAAAGCTGCAGATCATTCAGTGAACAGGCGATGAGTGCTCGTTGGAAACCCAGACTCCCCAGCCACACCCTTAAATCCGCAACCTCACTCCCTCAAACACAAACCAGAAACCAGAGAACTAGCTTATGGAGGTTCGCATGCACACAAAAAGTAATTCTCTAACCACCCAAATGTCTACTTCAAGCCTAAGGCACAATAATCCGACAGACCAAGCACGAAAAAAGAGGAGGGGTTCGAACCAAAGGAACTTACCAGAATATCAAGAAATACTAGATTCTGAAGCGCGACTCGAACTAACTTCCCTAAGTGCCAGAAAGAACGAGGAATAGGAAGTGTGAATCCTGGGAAAAATCTGCAGAGTAACGGTGGAGTCCGGATGGAGGTCTCGGTTCAAAGCAGCCTTTTAAAATAAGGCGAGCCCTCGACCACAGACCGTTGGATCAATTCCCAGTAAATCTAATGGTGGGGGCAACTGGTCGAGATCCAACGGCGGGAAGCCGAAGAGGCACGATCCAATGCCTCAGATTATCTGTTCGAATATATGTCCACGTCAACAAGGTGATGGGACCGACGTGACGTTTGTGTGTCTCGAGGGATGTTCAAAGTACTTGTCATTATTACTAGGCAGGTTCGGAGGTAGGTTTCCCTTGCCCGAAGCAAACAGAGAACGGACCTAGCTTGAGGCAGTCCAAAGGAAAGCCTCGACCTGGGGAGTAGCTGTTGTGTGGGAAAATTCACACAAGACACGTTAGACAATGACCAGGCTCCACGTGGCCCAGCGCCCGTCACGCCGTGTAGTCCTTGACACCCAAGAAGGTTTTTCCCTCTGAACAATGCGAGAGCCGAGCACGTAGAGAGTATACCGTCAACTCCATATGCCTGGTCAGATGGCAAGTTCTACAATAGGATCGGCGCCTCAGGGCGCAGGCGTCGAGAGTAAGCCGTGAGCAACTGGGTCCATACCCCGAGAAAGGGCCTTGAGGTGACACGTTGGAATCCCAAGGTGGCGTCTGAAGTTGGAGGAGGCTAGATGTACAGGAAATGATTACAAATCTCCTCAACCGCCTAGAGGAGATCAATTGGCATTACAGAGGATCTGCAGAGCCGTAATGTGGGGGGGGGGGACAAATTGGATGAGTGAACAGTTCCAAGGACACTGACAGGCTACGGATTGGACAGGCAAGATGGTAGCCCACTCGAGTGAGTGGGCCATATGGGAACCGCCAAAGGAAAAGCAGAGGGGGAAGCCCACGGTGGGGGGAAAGGATACCTTTGGGCTATAAATAGGAAAAAAAACCTCCAAGAGGAGGGGTTGAATCGCCATTTTGTTCATGTAATCTGTAAAGAACCAAGGAAGAGAAATATAATACAGTGGATGTAGCTCTTGTTCTATAAGGGTGAAACACTATAAAACCTCTGTGTCCTTTATTTTGTGCATTAGATATGAGTGTTCTTATTCAGTAAACTACCCAAAAATACACCCACACACTACCATATTCAGGAAAAATACCAATTCCGAACAAGTAACCAAGCGGGATACTGCGAGGTAACCTGGTACGGCTTTGTTGGCGAAATTTGTCTGCCAACAGAACCTTCAAGATTAGAATAAATTAAGAATTGAGTATGGCTATAAACTTTTTTTATATCCTTTTTCTTTTTTTTGGAAATGAATATTGCTTCAAACTTGTTTGGCTATTCAAATACCAAAACTTATAATGTCACCCCGGTTTTACTAATCTTAGATGATATCCCTTAATTCTCTTATTCCATTAACAAATTAACAGTTCACGCCTTAATTTTAAGGAATGGAAGGGGAGGAATTCATAAATTATATCATACCATACTATAGTTTTGAAAATAAAAGGTTAACTGATCATAGAGGAAGGTTAACTGAAGGGAACAAGTCCCGAAATGAGGCTTTTAATTAACAGAAAATCTAGAACATGCAGCGGAAGTTTTGAAAAATATTTCATTTCCACTAATCTTTAAAAAGCCGCAGCGGAAGCAGGATCAAAATATCTAAACTGAATTTGAAAGATATTTCTTTATCAGTTTATGATAAATCTTATTTAATTTCATGATAAGATAATTATCTAATTTATTTGAAAAAATAGAAAATTTACCCTTAAGAGTATGGCTGGTAATTTGGATTACGACACAATAACACGATACGAAATGGCCGTACGAAATTAGAGGGTTTAGATTTTCTTTAAATAGGTCTCGGTAAAAAAGGGTTGAACCCGCTAGACATAATTAAATAAAGTGTCAATACGACACGAACCCTCCAACACAAAATTAACCCCGTTTAATAAATGTGTCATAAATAGGTTGTCATGAATACAACACATTTTTAACTCATTTAAAATATGTTTTATTTAAATATGTATAAATATTTTTTTTAGAAGAAAATAGGTGATATATAAGGAAGGTCCTAGGGTTTCCTCACATTTTTATGGAATTTCTATTTTAGTTTACTATTTTGCTATGTTGTTGATTTTTTTTTATGTTTTTAATATTTTTTATCATTAAGAAATGAATTTCAGCATACATGTAATAAACGTGATTGTAGGTTGACAAAATATGTTATTAACCTGTTTTATAAATGGGTTGGTCGTGTCATGTTCGTGTCAACCTTGTAATAAAAGAGTCGTGTTTGGGTTACTTATTCTAACACGATTGTTAAATGTGTTGTTTTTGTGTCAAGGATTATAGTGTCAACAGAAGGGCATGACACGACATGAACCCAACACGGCAACACAAATTGCCACCCCTACTTGAGAGTGCATGAGTATGGACTTTTACCCATTACTCTTGATAAATACTTTGTTGTTAGTATAATTATTTGACCAAAAAATGTTATGAACCAAGATTAAAGTGTAAACATTGACCCATGCACTTTTAAAGAGTATTTGTTAAAATTACCCAATTTATTTTCATAAATAAATTATCTTATCGCATAAACTTAGAGATAGCATGTTGGGCCTGGATATAATCCACCCAATTTAACAAGATCTGAAATAGTACAAAGTCCATAATTTTCTATTCTCAATTAATTTATATAATCACAAGATTAAGCTACCGTAGGGATCTTATGGGCTTATATTATTTAGCTCCTAATATTTAATTCAATCCAATATCACCACTTTGATATAATGAATTAGATATTAATTTCATAATCATTTCACTATAGTTTTGAAATTGCACTCCAAACAATATAAACAATTTATGAGAACATAAATCTACTTTTAGTATGACCGTTTGCCCAATTATATTATGCCCCCTTGTTTAATTTCTATAATTTAATTAGTATGACCGTTTGCCCAATTAAATTACATCTTTTGTCCTTAAGCCTGCTAGTCACTTTATTGATCACCCCAATACAAACAAATATTGTGATCCATTAAAAAGAATATTTTGGCCAAAGTTTCAAGTGATCAATTACTTTGACAACTTAAGGCGAAATTATTAACTCCCAAAGGAGTCACAAAATTCCAATATTGTAATATTGATTACTAATTATACTCAAATCTACATTTCCAAATTACAAAGGCTATTGAATTAATAAATTCTCACTCCGGAGTAATTCAAGAAATGTAAAATCCCAGTATATGATTTTTACAGTAAACTCAGGATTGATAGTTTTAATATATTTAGTGCTTATAAGATTTAATTAAAACAGTCATTAAAATTAAAGCTTTTTTATGATCTATTTGATACTCCTTTACGTTAAATCAATTAATTGTGACTTTCGCTGCAACTATCATAAATAAAATGCCCAATTTTATATATAGTTGCAAACATGCTTTTTGATTATGAAATCCATGTAAATAAATACAACATATAATCAATGAGCTCTATATATTTAAATAAATAAAACGCAAGAAAAATATCAACTTTTATTTAATTAATCAAACTGAAAATGTCACATAAAATTGCTTTAAAATAGCATAATCCCAACAATCTCCCACTTATTTTTTAAAGCAGGTGCTGCATCTGGCGAATTCCCATCCCCTCTAAGTGAGAATAATAAACTCTCAAAGGTTGTGACTTGGTGAATAGGTCCGTCAAGTTTTCTGTAGATGCAATCTTGGTGAACTCAAGAATAAGGCATTTTTAAACATTAACCAGTAGTCACCCATCTAATTTTGGTGTTTAAACTAGTTTCTACTATATTTAACTAACTTTTCCTTATTTTGGTGTCTAAACTAGTGTCTACTATATTTAACTAACTTTTCCTTACTTTGGTATATAAAACTATTAAATGAGATATCATCTTGGTGAACTCAAGACTGAACGTTTGTAAGGCATTTTTAAACATTAAAATGTACTTTGGTATATAAATCTATTAAATGAGACATCATCTTGGTGAACTCAAGACTGAACATTTATAAGGCATTTTTAAACATTAACCAGATAGTGTCTATTATATTTAACTAACTTTTTCTTACTTTCGTATATAAATCTATCAAATAATATGGCTCATTATGATTGGTATTATACCAATTGAGACACTAAATATTGAAGTACAGTTTTTGCGCTACTTGAAAGAAGTTAACTAGAAAAGGAGCACACATTATTCATTATTCATTACTTATAGAGGAAAAGTACTCATCGTTGTTCATTCGTTCTCGCAAATATATATATATATATATATATATATATATAACATACGTACAAGTGCTGTAATACGTAAGTACGTACTTGATACAAAACAGACTACATATCATGCATATATATATATATATATATATATGTTGCTCCGATCAACATGCATGAGAATTTATTCCTATTTCTCTACGTACTTGCTAGATTATTAAAACTAGTAAACCACTGCTCATGATCCCCTGAAGTACAAACGATCGCTAGCTTATATAAAGTAGTTAATACTCCCGGCCTTGTTGAGAAGACTGGGTGCTGAAAATAGTGACCTCTTCCCTGTTGTTCTTCGTTGGTCCTTCTGTTGCCCGATCTGGGTTGTGATTTTGATTTACATCTTGTTCCGCATTTTGAGGGTCAATTTCACTTACCAGAACCCCATCTTGAAAGTATTGGGTCATAAATCTATCATCATGCTGATACAGGTAAGGGATCACATTCCCTTTAGCAGTTTCAGAGCACTACACTTAGGGCATGGTTCAATCTATCATAGCCCGCATAAATAAAGTGGCAACTAATAAATGCCTAAATACCGAAAGGATAGCGCTACAACGAAACTGATATGCATTAAAAAAATGATTCATCATTGTCAATAATCCGGCCAAGAAGAAGAAGAAGAGCTGATATTCTCATCCAAGTATTAGGTGTAGTATATTTATATAAACGGGAGACAAAAAGTGCATTAGAAACATGAGATGAGAATTTAAAATGAGAATTAATCACATAAGCCTACAAGTATAGAATGGTAAGACTGTAATCAAGTTATCACAACTTGCAGATTCAAGTTTTCAAGACCTTATAATAATTTTTCACAGCATATTAATCATTCGCTTTGGTATTCTCAATAAAAGAGAAAAGCTTATCAAGATACCCAAGTTCTATATCTCTCTCTCTAGTTTTTTTTTTTTTTTGGTTGAAGATGTCGGCCCGCGACGGGCGGTCGATGTTGTGCCTCATCCTCAGAGTGCAGAATGTCTCTTCCATGCCGTTGTACTCTTCGTAATCGTATCCCCTTCGGTATTCATGACGGCGTTCTTCCTCATGGATCCTGGAGGGACTTAAGATCTGAAGCTCGTCCCTCACTCGGACGATCCTCTCCCTCCTGTCGTTCTTGCTCTGGAGCTTCCTCGCCAACTCGGTGTCGATGTTGAAAGACTCCGCCAAGATTTTGACGTCGAAACCGCTGAAGATGTTGCCGTTAGGGTTCCGTCGCTCACCGGCACCTTTCTCACTTCTTCGGCTACGGCTCTGGAGGCGCATTTCTTGCTCGGTTCTTTGATCCTTTTGTGGGTTACCACCAAGGTGGAATCTCTGAAACAGAATGAAATATATATCATGAGATTGTAATATATAATTTATGATCTTATATAATTTTGTTAGAGCTTATACTTTTTTATATATTACTTACTCTAGCGGATAGATCGAGCTGGTTAGCCTGGTTGCCGACGTCGACGAAGGAGACCAAAACAAGCGGCGAGTCGCCGTTGTTGTAGAACCATTGAGCCACTCCGGCAGGTGCGGCAACGATGTCGCCTTCGCGGATTTCTCGAACCTTTTGGTGCTGCTGTTGAGATCTCTGTGATTGTTGTGATTGTCCTGATTCATAAGTCTCGGGACAACCAGGGATCACAGCTCCTTGAATTCCCCTACCTGTGATAAATTATGAAGAAATAATAATAATGTCTACAAATAAAAAATAACTACGATAAACAAAACTAACTAGTTGCAATCTAGTGTATATGGGGACATTAAGATCCTCATGATAAGCTACTATACATGCCTTGGATTATGTAGGTGAGATCTGGTGCATTTGTGAAGAAAGGCAAGAGAAGTCCTCTACGGTGGATGGTATGGCGGACGGCGGAGACACCGGCGCACTGGAGCTCGTCTTCGTTCTCGAGGTCCCAGTACTCGCTGATGCCGGCCTCAGACTCGACGCGCCGAGAGGGCTGGAGGGCGTTGAGGCGGTCGAGGCGGCACTCGGTTTGCCACCGCTGTTGCTGCTTCCTCTGCTGCATCTGCTGCCTCGACCGCAGAGGCATTTGCTCGATCTGAGCAAAGCAATTGTGGAAAAGGACAAGGGAGAGAAGGGTGAGGCAGAGCAAGGAAGAGCTAGCCATGGCTAAAACTCAATGTTATATACTAAAGAAGAGCGTGAATTCTAAGGTGATATGGTGGAGGAGAAGAATTGGATGTTATTTATAGAGGGCAAAGTGGGGTTGGAATCTGGGACGTAGCGATCGTGCTTTATGAGAGTGATGTACATCTGTGTATGTTTTGTACGTATTTGCATGGGATCAGAGCCATTATTTGTTAACACATAATTTGTTTTGGGTGTAATATGTGGCGTTGAGCTTCTGTGGAGTTCTTATATATGTATTTATTACTTTGCTCCTTTAGATATGTCTCCATCGGTTATCTGTATTCATTCTAGCGAGAAGTTTTTGATCGCAAATTGGGTTTGGAATATTAATTAATTCCTGAAATGGTTTCTTTCTTGGGACCAAATTAATGTAGGTTTGGTATCACTAGTACCCCGTACATTAATGTATCTAAGTTCAAAAGTAACTTTTTTTTCTAGAGAGAATTCTATATTGATCCTATTTTTGTTTAGAAATTAAAGATAATATTTATCATCAAAGTCGATGAAGAATAATTGATAGGTTGTAATTCACAAGTAGCTAGACGGGCCACAAGTGTCACTACTACATATGAGAGAACGCACAATGCCTATTTAACGACATTTCATGAGAAAACACCATCTAATATAATCCAGAAAAAAGGCAACATGAAGATTTTTATATTTTAAAATTCGTATGGCACATTAGACGATCTAATTTCTTGAAAGTTATCATTATATATATCAGACAAAAATTTTCAAGGATTGACGTCTAATATATGCATTAGATGACACTTTTCATGACACTGTCCTCTAATTATGTGTTGAGGAATAAAAAAAAAAAAAATCGTCCGCGTTTAATGGTCGTTACAAATTATCTCTGTATGTCCTAGACATACAATGACCCTAGATTTAACGACTCTAATTAATGTTATTAAAATTTTGTATTAGCAACGTTTTTCTAAACACATCGTTAATTCCCTTTTTAAATGAGTACAATTCTATTGTTCACCTAGCTATGCAACAGAGCAGGTAAGTGCTATTAAGTCTTCCCATACATTAAAACAAATAGGCGTATTATCACCATTGCCATAATCCTATTCCTATTTTTGCTCTCAGTCGATACTTGAGTAGTACTTATTTAGATCAATCTATATATTGAGGGGACATATTCGCATCATCTCCACTCAACTCTTTTAGATAAATGTCTTCCAATTGGAGTACGTTAGTTGGACCGAATGTGAACTGCTGATTTATAGTAGGGCTGTGGATCTGAATGTGAGTTTAGAAGGAGATCAAGTTAGCTAGGGATTCTATTTCAGTGGAGTTTCTCAGCAAATTTATAGTTCCAGACTCTTCTAACTATAATTTTAAGTCAATATTAAGATCATTCGTTTATCTGGTGAGGGTAGCACTCAATAGTCTTTTTTTTAGGGTTTTTTTTTTTTTTTTTTTTTTTTTTTTTTTTTTTAAGTTTGGGACGTTAGGTTTGGTGATCATTTTATGTGGAAAGAAAGAATACATACATATATATATATATATATGTATATATATGTATATAGATATATTTGCCGGTGGAAAGACTTTTTAGTCTGTCAGGTTTTACACTAAAGATAATTTGCTATGGTAGAAACTCATATATATTTCACTAACAGTTATAATAAATTTACTTTTGCGTTTAAACAAAACAAAAAAAAAAAACAAAAAAACAAAAAAACAAAACAAAAAAAGAAAGAAAAAGGTAGCGAAACGCACGGCATCAAATAGTTGAGGTTACATCCTATTTATGTTGACAATTTTATTAGACAAAAGAAAAGAAAATACGGATTAAATCCAACATAATCCATAATTGTCTTCTATATATAAATTACTTATTAGTTAAACCTAGGCACATTGGAAATTTAATTATCTCTAGCTTGATCATTTTAAGGTGGTCCTTTATATAAGCTGAAGGGGAAAAAAAAAAGAAAAAAAAAAAGAGAAGACGATCACCCCCAACTAAAACCGCTCGCCTTTATCTTCTTTTCCTTTCTGAGTCGTAATCATTTAATTTTTATTAGTACATTTGTACCCATTCTTTTTTTACATATTAAAGATTAAGCTCACATGTTTCTTTTTTATGTCCCATTGTGTATCTATCTGATAAGATCCATATTCATATCAATCAAAATATTTAATTTTTCTTGACTTTTTAATTAATGTGACATGAATTTTTAGTTAATGTGACATTTTAATTGACTCGGGGATAAAAATAAAAAGGGAAACGAGTTGGTTCCATTAATAACGATTTTAAAATAAGCAGCAAAAATGTTTTCGACCTTAACGGAGCTGGTATATACAAAAATGTACCTTACAGACATGCCATAGAAATCCTCCAAAGCAAGCTCTCTGTTCACTTCTGATCAGAGCATCATCGCCACATGCCACTGCCGAAACTCTTATGTGTTAGCAAATAAGGGTTCTGAAACCATGAAGATAACTACAAAACCACATGCACGTAAACCCATAAACTTCTCATATAACATTCGCCACGTCCCAGATTCCGACCCACTTTTCGCATGTATAAATATCAACCCAACTCCGTCCTCATACTTTATCCCAAGCTAATATCTCTATTATTCCATTGAGCTTCAAAAATGGCTAACTCGTCTTTGCTCGGTCTTGCTCTTTACCTTCTCCTTTTCAATGTCTGCTGTGCTCAGATCGAGCAAATGCCGATGCAGTTCGGACGCCAGCATCGCCTGCAGGGACTCCGGCAGCGCTGGAAGACCGAGTGCCGCTTCGAGCGCGTGCAGGGCCTGCAGCCATCCCGCCGGGTCGAGTCCGAGGCCGGCATCAGCGAGTACTGGGACGTCCGAGGCGACCGAGAGGACGAGGACAGCTTCAGTGCGCCGGAATGGCGGGCGGGCGCCCCACCCTCCGCCTCCTCTTGCCTTCCTTCTTGAACGCACCCATGATCTCTTATGTCATCCAAGGCGAGTACTTTACAAGTGAATCTATTTATGTTACAACAAGCAAATATTTTAACACATTATACATTTATTATATTTGGATTGTTGGGAGAAATGAGCATATTTTCATTTTCTTTAAAATACAATATTTCTTGTTTTATACATTGGAGAATAGTTTATTGTAGAAAGAAAATTTATTACCAGAACGTAAAAAATTTTAATGCATGTTTTATGATGCGTAACAAGTTTCATATATAGGCTCTGTATATATAAAAGTAAAATTACTTCTCAAACTTAGGGCCCGTTCGGTTTGCTAATTCGAGTTGAGATGTGATGTTGTGTGAGAGCTTTTTATTGTAGCAAAAAAGTTAAATGTAACTGTTTTTAGAGCTTTTTACTGTAACAAAATTCAAATTCTAAACTCGAATCAGCGAAAAGAACGGAACCTTAAATTTTCACTACCTTTTCCAAATTATTATTATTAATCATTATTATTTTTTACTTAATGATTAATGTCTTGAACTACATTTCAAATGTACCTGCCATTTTCCTCTATTTATAATCGGCCATGAGATATAGCATTTGTCACTTTATTTGGCAATCATTAATTTTTCTTTACAACTTTTGACGTGACTATTTCTTGCTATGTATAATGCAGGTAAGGGAATTCACGGAGCAGTTATCCCTGGTTGCCCTGAGACTTATGAATCAGGACAATCACAGAGATCTCAAGAGCAGCACCAGAAGGTTCGCGCAATCCGCGAAGGCGACATCGTTGCCGCACCCGCCGGAGTGGCTCAATGGATCTACAACAACGGTGACTCTCCGCTTGTTATCGTCACCTTCATCGACGTCGCAAATCCAGCTAACCAGCTCGATCTATTCGCTAGGGTAACTAATATTTGTTAATTATAATTAACAGTTAATTAGCAGGAAATTTAATTCATTCTATGTTTAATATTCTTTTTTCTAAAATTCTATGCTCTATACATTAATTTTCAGAGATTCCACCTCGGAGGAAACCCACAGAAGGAGCAACAAACAGAGCAACAAATGCTCCGCCAAAGCCGAAGCCAAAGAAGCGAGAGCGCCGCCGAGCGGAGGAACCCTAACGGCAACAAGGATTGTCCGAGTGAGGGGCGAGGTTCAGATCTTGAGCCCCGGTAGGATCCAGGAAGAAGAACGCGGAGAACGCCGAGGACGGTACGACGTCGATAATGGCTTAGAAGAGACTTTCTGCACTCTGAGGATGAAGCATAACATCGACCGCCCGTCGCATGCCGACATCTTCAACCCTCGCGGCGGCCGCATCACCACCGTCAACAGCCTCAACCTCCCCATCCTCCGCCACCTCCAGCACTCCGCTGTCAGAGGAGTTCTCTACAGGGTAATTATCCATTTACATTATACATTAGAAAATCTAAAAAAAAAAAAACAATTTTAAAAAATAACTAATCTAGAGTGCATATGTAATTTTGTTTACTAATTAATTAATTAATTCACGTAACAAGTCCCATAACTCTATACAGAACTGACATATATTTTATTTGTAAGGAGAATTTTGCCAATAAGACAGATTTTTATCAGTTTTCGTTAAATTTTAAATATGTTTTAGTCTAATATAATTCTGATGTCTCCAACGTTACCTATGGTTGGTGAGTGTATATATATATACCTTTTAAGGTTTTTTTTTTTTAATAAATCAAAAAAGAATAACTGAGATAGAAAAAGATTAATATTGGGACCCACTAACAATTTTATCTTTTACCAAATTCTCAACTCATATTATTAATAAGAAAAGAAAATACAAAGAATTAAAAGAAAAGGGGACAAAATAGCGACATGGAAGATCCTAAAAAGAAGCATCTGTGAAAATAACGATAGACGGTCCTAGTAGAAATCTCATATTTAAGGACTGTTATTAACCGTCGTTAAAAGATTTGACGACGGTAGGAGAATTGTTGTCTAATCGTGAGTTATTAAGGGCCCGTTTGGAAACTATATCTTGGATCATGACTCTGGGTCATGCGGGAGAATCCATGTTTGGAGGCCCAAAATCCCGCATTTGACTCAGAGTCAAAATTTGCTTTTAGGATCATTTTGGATCCTGATTCTAAAATCAGATAGGCTATGATTCAACCTGTTTTTAAATCAGAGCACAGTATTTGCACAGTGTTTCCATGCGCTTCTGCTTCCCCGAGTAATGACCCCCACCCACTCTACTCACCATTTCTCTCTTGGCCAGAGAATCTTCAGCCTTTCTCGCGTGGGTTTGCAGGTCTCCAGCCTTTCCTTTTTCTCCTCTCTTTTCTTTCGACAATTTTCTCTTCTTCCCGGTGGACACCTCTTCGTATCTAAGCAGCCAAACCCACGGCGGACTCCTCTTCTCGAGTTGATGAGAAATGCTTAAAGTAAAAGGGTGATTGTGACAATCGACGGAAGCTCCACATTCGGTATCAATTTCGCCGATACTACCAAAGTAAGGCCATTTATCGCCTTTGCCGGAGAGGAAACGGACGGGGAATTTACAAAAGTCCTGCATCCGTGTTTGGAGCTCTACCGGCGGTGTCCTTCATCTCCTTGTCGGACTCGAACACTGAAACAATATGTCATTCCCACTTTATTTCAAATTTGTGTGTAAAGATCAAAACCTGGAATGGGCCATGTTCGAATGGCAGCATGTGTGTTTTTTTTTCGTACATTTTTGTGAGATGCATGAAATTGATATAGACCGAACTGATTGGGTTTAGGGCTTTCTGTGAATGTGGTATCAGTAGAATATAGCACAGATAGGTGTTTTTGTGAATGAAATTGCTATAGCTAGAATATAGACCGAACTGACTGTATAGGCTGAGTTGGGTGAAAACTTTCCCGAAGCTGGTAGTTGACACCAGAAAGATCAATCGATTTTGCCTCAACTTCTGCCATTTCTTCAGCCTCTGTGAAGCAGGATTCAATTCCAGTTAAAATTGAAACATACAGGAGAATGTACACATAACACCTTTCCCCAATGAGTGTATAGTACATGTTAGCTTCTCTGATAACTATATTCTGAATTCCAGATAAACTCATAATGCTTACCAGATTAGGACCTGCCCAGCCAACAACAGCCGAAAGAATAGCCATGACCTAGAAGGCAAATATTCCAATCGAGTGAGACCTCATAAGTAAGAATAAGAGAGTTTTTTTTTAGTAAGTATAACTGAAAATGTGCAAGAAGTTTTTTTCCTTCATGGCATTATGTAGACCAGAAAATGAATTTGGAAACATGGTTTTTATTCACAGAGAATTCAGAAAAAAATACACAAAGTATGATCATAAAAAAAATATATAAAATAAAGTAGTGCAGCAAGCAAATAACTTTCGCAATTAAAAAGCCATACAATGCACAAAAAATTTGCCTTGCAGCATACAAGAAAGTTTTTATGGTGGTTATGTTTTTTCAACTAGTAGTGCAGCAAGCAAATAAAAATTTGCTTCTCTTTCATGTTCTTGGTTATGTTTTGTTGGTGGTTATGCCTCTTAAATTGTCGTTGTAAGACCATACCCTATTTTTGCATGCATTGGACTCCTCTTGCTTGTCCTATGTGTATGTAGATGCCTAGGAAAAGCCTAAATGAGAGGCCATTGTATTGGAGTCCTGCAGCATAGGAGTTTCTACTTGAGTGACTATACGAATACAATGACATAAACCACGGGAAGCTACCAGATTCTCATGACTACAACCAATGGGCTGCTCGAATGGCCACTTTTTTCGATGGATATGTACCCGACAGTGAGCGGCTGAGGGAGAAACACCGCCGACTTGGCAACCTTTACTCATCGTATAAAACGCTGCAAAACCATACAGGAGTAGGGTGGGATCCTATCAGTAAAACTTTCTCATGCTCGGAGGAACTACAGACATCTCTTTGCAAGGTAATATGTGTGATTCATTGCTCCTCCATTAGTGATAATAGTTAGAGGTTACACTTTTGTAACTAAAGTGTAACAAACTTACCAATTTCATTCTAATTTTGTTAGAGACAACGTTAAGCGAAAATATTGTTCACACACGGTTGGAAGCTTAATGAGACGTACTTGACGGCCATTTTCCCTTCAAGAGTTATGGCGTCTGGTTCAGGAGCATATCACCTTGCCACCCAAGTAGTGCTAATGGATGATGATGCTGCTGGGGATGAACAACCACAACCTCACCAGAATGCTCCTTACCAAAACAGTGATGATGAGGAGATGCGTACTGAGCTTCGCAACTGCGTGGAAAGTTTTGAAAGGCAGATGCCATCCAATGTCGCCTCATCATCACGGGTGATAAGAAAGAAAAAGACAAGGGCACGCAAATCCAATGACAATTCATGGGAAGAGTTGCTTGATTTGGTTAGGGACATGCGCGATAATTTGCGAGAGGACATTCGTTCAAGCAAAGAGAGGTTACTGAGTAACAACACTGTCAATGGACCAAGTGAAACGGATACCATCATAGCATCACTCTCGAAAATGGAAATTGACCAGCGTACATATGCCCATGCATTTGAAAAAATAATGGCGTCCCCCACGTGGCGGTCAGCATGGCATAAACTGGATGAACCCATTAGGAGGGCCTTTTTAAATGACTTTGTTGATGTGCCAAAAACCCCTTTTGTTTATCAGGTGCCTAATCCATATAGCCAGCTGCCTTATAACTTCTCTCCCGGGCCAAATCTATACAACCAGCCTCCACAGTCCTTCCACCAGCTGTCAAACCCCTTTAGTTAGCCCCTTAACCATTCCACCAGCCTTCACCAGCCTTCAATCCACCTAGCCTTTAAATGTTTGGTGCGATGTTTCTACCTATAGAGTTAACCTATATTAAATGGTCAATTTTCCCTTGATATTAGACCACGGATTAGTGTTTAGTACCATGTTGTCGCGTGTAAGCCTGATTTTGAGACTGTATTCTATACTATTATTGGTGTACCGGTTTACTTTCATTGTTGTATGAGATTGTATTCTATACCGATTTACTATTGTATGAGATTGTATTCTATACCGGTTTACTATTGTATGAGACATTCATGTGTTTCTTTGATATTAGACCAAGGATGTTTAGCTTGCTGTTCTTTTGATAATCTGCCGACTTTGGTCAAGTTAGTGAGAAGTTGTGATATTGCATTTTACTTTGAACGATATATATGTTAAGTTGCGATATATGTTAAATTGTGTTAGTGCTTGTTGGTCATGTTAAATTGTGATAGATGTTAAATTCTGTATGAGTTTGCTGTTCTTTTGAAGTTGTATTTATTGTGTATGAGATATATGTATGAGCTTGTTGTTCTTTTGAAGTTGTGATATATGTTAAATTGTGAACCAACAGGATGCAGCCCGAAAATGAGGAACGAGATAGAACGACGTCTTCAAGGCGTCGATGGAGATTTATGGCCACAATAAGTGAAGCCACGGCTGCAGCCGCTTATTTGTCTAGTGACAGAGTAAGAAGGCCGATGCACATTTCTTCTTTAAGGGGCATGGACAAGGTAAATGAGCTATTAGCAAACACTAATAAGACTACAATGTTCAACAAAGTGCGTATGGGACCACGTGATTTTATGATTCTATGTGAAATACTAACTGAGAAAGGTTTGCTACAACCCTCATACAACATGAGTGTACCTGAACAATTATTTGTATTCTTAACAATCGTAACACAAAGCCAAAGTAATCGTGAATCACAAGACGCATGGCAACATTCAGGGGAGACCATATCACGCAGGTTTACTAAAGTTTTAGAGGCTATTTTTGCACTACATGATGATTTCATTAAGCTCCCAAATTATGACAAAGTGCCTGAATTTTTTCGTGCCAACCGTCAGAGATATGGTACATGGTTCGACGTAAGTTGTGTTGCTCTTTTACGTCTAATTTTTAACTATCTATCATTGGTATTCTTAATAATACGTCCATAAATATGTTTATATGAAACTTATGTGCAAAACTTTTGCTTGAAATGGTTAGGACTGTGTAGGCGTAATTGACGGTACTCATGTACCTTGTACACCAATTGGTGTTCATAATCCAGCGGCTTATCGAAATAGAAAGGGTGTGAACTCCCAGACCGTATTGGCAGCATGCTCATTTGATATGAAGTTCACATACATATTATCCGGTTGGGAAGGTTCAGCCCACAATGCTCAAGTGCTTGCAGATGAACTTGACAATCCTAGGTTTCAGTCCCCATGTCCCCCACCAGGGTACACTTATGTCTTCCTACTTATGTCTTTTTAATGTTATGGACCTTCAATTTGCAGCCTAATTTGGATATGATGCACAGGAAAATACTATCTTGTTAATGCAGCATATGCGAACAATGATTGTTTTCTCACATCGTATAGAAGGCTCAGCAACGTTTTCAAAACATGTGATGCATCCATAACCCACTTGTCCACATCCCACTGCTTCATCCTTTTCCACACGCCCAACAAATAGGTTTCAGGGAGCTGATGTCTTACCTGTGCTTCCTACAACACGAACAAATAGGATGAGCTTTCACTCAACAAGTAACATCAATTCATAATAAATACAAAACAGTAATGCATACCCATATATGCACTCGCATCATATGTCCTAGCACGCATCCTAAACATTCAAAGTGTTCATCATATTATGCTTTTTTTTTGTATTATGTTTCCTTTTCTTTCATTTCATACTTCTTGACATCTTTTGTTTTTGTGTCGTTCATTTTTCATAGCATTTACTTCTTATGGGCCCCATCCTGTTATGTTGTTGCGTGCATAACCAGTGATGAGTGAGGTAGCTAACCAAAACCAACTCACTTACGGTTTCATTTCTTTCATAATCATAATAACCTTTCTTTGTGTAGGCCGGTACAAACAATATTATTTACTTCTTATCGTTTGCCATCTTTATTTATTCATCATCTTACTGTGTCATCATTTCATATTATGACAGTAATTTTAATCATTTCATCGTACTGTCACTTTTTCATATTATGATAGTAATTTTAGTCTTATCATCTTACTATCATCTTTTCTTATAATGACAATAATTTTAGTCATATTGGTACACCTTTGAGCATTCTTACCAATTTCCAATGAAATTGGACTTTATTCAAATG